GCAATTGCCTCGACCACCATCGGCACAAGCCGACCTTTGGTGTAGGCGATTGCCTCAACCACCATCGACATAAGATGGCCCCTGGTGTGGGCAGTTGCATCGAACACCATCGGCACATACTGGGCCATGGTGCAGGCGGTTGCCTCGACCACCATCGGCACATGCCGAGCCTTGGTGTGCGCGGTTGCCTCAAACACCATCAGCACCAGCCGACCCTTAGTGCGGGCGGTTGCCTCGACCACCATCGGTAGAAGATGACCCTTGGTGCAGACGGTTACCTCGAACACCATCGACAAGTGCCAGGCCTTGGTGCTGGCTGTTGCCTCGAGCACCATCGGCACTAGCCGACCCTCCGTGCGGGTGGTTGCCTCGACCACCATTGGCACAAGATGGCCCCTGATATGGGCGATTGTGCCGAACACCATCGGCACATGCTGGGCCTTGGTGCGGGCGGTTGCCTCGACCACCATCGGTAGAAGATGGCCTCTGGTAGGGGCAGTTGTGTCGAACACCATCGGCACATGCTAGGCCTTGGTGAGAACGATTGCCTCAAACACCATCGGCACATGCTGGGCCTTGGTGCGGGCGGTTGCCTCGACCACCATCAACATAAGATGGCCTCTGGTGCGGGCGGTTGTCTCAAGCACCATCGGTACAAGCTGACCCTTGGTTCGAGCTCTTGCCTCGACCACCATCGGCACATGCTGGGCCTTGGTGTGGGCGGTTGCCTCGACCACCATCGACAGAAGATGGGCCCTGGTGTGGGCGGTTGCCTCGACCACCATCGACACAATCCAACCCTTGGTGCGGGCTCTTGTCTCGACCACCATTGACAAAAAATGGCCCCTGGTGCGAGCGGTTACCTCGACCAGCATCTACACAAGCTAACCCTTGGTGCGGGCGGTTGCCTCGACCACCATCGGTAGAAAATGGCCCCTGGTGCGGGTGGTTGCCTCGACCACCATCGACACAAGATGGCCTCTGGTGCGAACGGTTGCGTCGAACACCATCGGTACATGCTGGGCGTCGGTGCGAGCGGTTGCCTCGAACACCATCAGCACGTGCTAGGCCTTCGTACGGGTGGTTACCTCGAGCACCATAGGCACAAGCCAGCCTATGGTGTGGGCTCTTGCCTCGACCACCATCGGCAGATGATGGCCCCTGGTGCGGGCGGTTGCCTCGAACACCATCGACACGTGCTGCGCCTTTGTACGGGCGATTGCCTCGACCACCATCGACAGAAGATGGCCCTTGGTGGGAGCGGTTGCCTCGAGCACCATCGGTACAAGTCGGCCCTTGGTGCGGGCTCTTGCCTCGACCACCATCGGTAGAAGATGGCCTTGGTGTGGGCGGTTACCTCAAACACCATTTTCACATGCCGACCTTGGTGTGGGCACATGCCTTGATCTGGTACGGGTGATTGCCTTGACCACCATCGGCACACGCTGGCCCTTGGTGCGAGCACTCGCATCGACCACCATCGGTACGCGCTGGCCCTTGGTGCAGGCACATGCCCCAACCACCATCGGCACCTGCTCACCCTCGATGCGAGATATGCCTGTTTGGAAAAAGTGTCCTCGTTTAAGACACTTTAATGTCTACTGGTAGCATATCTATAAAATCTCTAATACTCTTTATGGGGTGGTGGTCCGGCACCCCCTCTCCCTCCCCCACGGGGGGAGTAGGTGTGTGTGATGGGCCTCCCATTGCGTACACCCAGGGCAATGTCCCTTGAGCGAAATACAGGGTGTGCATGCCTTCCGACCATTTTGTTTGAGGACTGGTTGCTCCGGTGACTGACAGGCACCTATGGCCTCGACCGGTTGGCATGCATGTGAAAAAAAAGAGCTGAGCTCGAGCCCATGCACGCGACGGATGCTACCCTAGACCCCAGACCAAGTCCCTGAATCGGGTAACGGCTCCCTGGGGTGGTGCGAGTAGAAGTCGCAGTTGCGAGCTTGGCCCAGCCAGGTCTCTTAGTATTTGATGATCTCGTGATCCCTTCTTATCGACCACAAAAATGCCTAGGCCTCAACGAGGCTGTGCACGCAACCGACACTGCCTGAGACCCCAGGAACAAGTCTCTGAATTGGGTAACGTCCCCTTGGGGTGGTGTCAACAGAGCTCACGTGTACGGGTCCAATCGGGCCAAGCATTGGTGGTGTCGCTTTGTTGTTGCCTGTTGGATGGCAGGGGCAGTCTCGTGGCCCTTGCTCGTGTTTTTCTCTTGCCAAGTGGTTGTGGCATGGCCTCGCACGTCGTTACCTCTGCTCACTCGTCGAGTAATTGATTGGGTGGGTTATGGACCGGCGCGCGTGGATGCTGCCACTTGTACACAATGGGCATATGAGTGGTGCTATGGTTGTGCATGTTGACAGGCTCCAAGCTCGATGCATCGAACTATCGACCCATCATCCTCTTCAATCTCCCCCCATGCGATCATCGTACCCAGTAGGTGTGATCGGGATCCTGTGTTGCATACCTAAATCGATGGAAACTA